GATATATGTTAATAATATGATTAATTTAATTTATCGCATTCACTAATCTAATTTAGATATAAGTAATATATTAATTCAAATTTATTTTGTTAATTTAGATATATATATTTAAAAATTTTGAGTATAAAGGATAGTGACACTTTTGTCTAATAAGTCATCAATATTTAAAACTTATTTAGAGTAAAAATATATATAAAATAGATGAACATCAATATTTTTATAGAAGCTAATTATAAAAATAATTATTTGTCACATTACTTTTATATAATCAATCATAGCAAGAACGCATCAAAACTCTAACCATATTACATCTTAAATTTTATCATGTATACACTATACTCCCAACATACTATTTATAATATATCCAATTATGTTTTATTATTATATTTTAGATAATATTTTTAATTAAAAGTTTTTAAAGTTAATAATTATTCTTTTCTTTTACAAAGAGATAATTTATAGATATAATTTTTGTTTTTCAAATTAAAAATATAAAATTTGTGTCTTTTTTATAATTCATTTGATATAGTAGATAAGTAACAAATTATTTAAATAATAATATTTAATTATTATTTAAGAGTCAAAAGTAATTAAATATATACATAAATATTATATATATAAATCTTATAGAAAATCTATATGGCGACTTTGTATTTCTATCCAGCTATATCATGTGCTATGCATGATATTTTACTTTTAAATTAATTTATATGATAATTAAATTACTCTATATGTTATAAAAAATATACTGTCAATGTTATAATATAATATTATATGAAATTTATATAAATATAATTATATTTTATTATATTATATGATTTTAAAATTATATTAGATTTAAATAAATAATAATTATTTCATCCCGTACAGGGTGCGGGTTATTACCTAGTTTCACTTATTCATCTCCTCTTTATACTCTGTTAAATTCAATTATTCAGTTATTTGCTTCAATTCGTAAAAATTGGATATTTGTAATTTTATGGAGCAAAAGCAAGTATTAAAAGTTATTATCTATTAAAAATGGGAAAAATCACAAATACAAAAATTTTAATAAACAAATATTCAATCCACTCTGTTATATATATATATATATCATGGCTCTCAGACCATAAAGAAAAAGAAGTAGATCATATAAATTTTAAAATTAAAATATAATAAAATTTAGATGAGACATATAAATATATAATTACATATATTTTTTATAAATTATATTTTTATATAATTTTTTGTAAATTTCTATTATATTAGTTAATTTAGTATCAAAGTTTAATATATTAAAAAGAAAATAAATTCCTATGAAATTCTTTCATTTATATTAAATTTTTTTTTATTTTCTATTTATATATAATTATTTTAATATTTTATGGAACGGAATAGATATCTAATCTGCTTAAAATCGGATATTTATTTGAATGTTGGATATCTGATTAATAGCATAGTGAATACAAAAAAAAAAAAAAAAAAAAATAGAATCCAGGAGTAGCGGAACTGATCACATATACCATCGAAATCTTGGATATTTTAGGCAAAATTTAGTTTGATTTTTCAAACTCTCATATTATTTGCATGTGACAATTTTTTAAAAAAAAACTTTTAATAGCAACATAACTTTATCACTGTTCGGAAATAAATTTTGAGATGCCACTCATTCGTTTGAATAATGGAGTCGTGCCTCCGAGTTTCGTACTCTGGGAAAAAAGCAACAAATCGTTTCGAGGCAGAAGTCTGTTTAAGTCCTACGAACGTCGGATAGAATTCGGAAGAACCCTGCAAACACTATATGAAAAGTCAGTCGGGCCTTCAGGAAAACTGAATAGGGATTTTCCTCCCAAGCTTACAAAATCTCAAAACCAAAAAAATGAATAGAAAATAATATGATCTCTCAAAAAATAGCTAAAAGTAATATATAGATGTAAAGTCAAAATAGATTGAGTTAGGAAGATTTTGTGGGAAAACAAGAAGCATGTCATTTTTTTTTTCTTTTGGGGGACTGGATTGATCGATTTGGATGTCATCTGGTCGATCTGAAAAGCTCTCAGTAAGTTGGATCGATCCATCAAAAAGTGCATTGGTCGATCTGATGGCGCTTTCTGCACATGCTTCACATCTTGCTAGACTGAACTGTTTTTATAGAAATTGGCATAACTTTTGATCGCATCGTTGGATGAATTTCAAACTACTTTTAAATGAAATCTAACTCAAAGATCTAGATTGTGTCAAAATTCATTTGGATCCATTGGTGAAAAGTGCTTTAATGAATGCCAAATTTCAGACTTTTTTATATAGTTCTGCATCAACATATATTCATTTGCACCCACAATGATTTTTTTTCTTTTAAAGCAACCTAAAACCTAAAAAGACTCGAGAAAAGGACTAGAAAACTTTAAAATCACACTTTAACTCAAAATCTATTGAAATTTTGGATTAGAAAAACTCAAATACGCAGTATATCAGTTCTCATGTTAGTAATCTAATACATCTATAAAGAAATAAAGAAAGGAACTATTGGCGTAAAGGGCGATCTGATTTAATGAAGAAAGGAATTATCGGCGTAAACAGTGGTCCGATTTGGAAGAGTTATATCCGTCTAGGACATCTGGATCAAATCCCCGCAGAAGGATGACTTTTCTTTTATGGAGCAAATTTTTTGCACTTGCGGAAAGCATAGAGAAGGGTTTATCGTCAGCTACATTCAGCTGTTTTGGAAGTCGTTTATCAAACAAATGTGTGGATATCAGGAAAGGATGATAAATTCTAAAATAAAGAAGTATGTTTTCCTAACGTCTGTGATAAAACTTTGACAGGCACCAAGTCTATTTAGCCGAAAAAGAAGAAAACTATTAGGGAGGAATCATCACTAACAAAACCAAAAGGATATATTCATTTCATCAGTACGATCTTTATAGTATAGATGGAGTATATATTGGTGATATTTGTTGTTTCCGATACTAAAGTACTATTTAGAGTATTTTTATACCATATAGAATATTTAAAAAGCAAAACAAAAACAACTACTTACTTTACAAATGGTAGGATACCAAAATACATATATTATCATTTAATATCATGTTCAATTGAAATATAAACGAAAATTAAATAAAATACTAAACAACAGAAAATATTTTAGTCCCCGGCCCAAAGGGATTAAAACTCCTCGTTCTTCCAAATAAAAGAAGATATATAATAGAAAGAACAACAACAAATGATGTTTTATGAGAAAGAAGCATTCAGAGAAACTTGCACAGCTAAGTTTGGTTGACAGCGGCCACCACGATCCCTCGTCGGCTATGGTCGGAGAGCTGACGAAGGTTAGGAGCAAAAGCAGACCTAAGAGAAGAAACTTTTGCAGTGCCATTTTGGTTTTAGATTTTGTTTTGTTTTCTGCAAGAGAAAGTTTTGGATGGTCTTTATATATAGAGATTTTGATTCACTGCTTCATCTGTCATGTTACAATCAAGTTGGGCTATGGTTGAGAGTTATGATGGTTGATTACTTTTTGCTTCTTTATTTAAAATTTATTTTAATTATCCTTAATAAAATTAACAAATTAATATAATTTAATTTTTAATTGATTTGCATTTTTTTTAAATCTAGATTTCTAAATTCGAATTTATATCATAAAAATATTTATTTTACTAAAAAAAGATAACTAGAATAAATCAAAAAAAAATCCTAGATTTTTATTAAACTAGTTTTAATTTGATTGTTTAACCTACTAATATTTTGACTAACCTAATTGTTAGATGCGACCACAAGTAACTCTAGATCATATATTAATTAATGTTAAGTTGATATGAAACAAAGATTCTTTGGTTTTGGTCATTGCTATGTTTTTTTTTAATGCAAACTTTGAATTTCATTAATCTTAATCTACCAATTTACATCAAAAGAACAGAATTATTTATCATGTTTGATAAATACAACAAAACAACAAAGCATATATATAAATTTTTATTGGATAATATAAAATATATTAAAAAATAAGATATAAATAATATATTTTGTTTTGTCACAAAAAACAATATACTCATAAAAATTGTATTTTTCAAATATATTAAGTTTGGTTTCGAATCATTATAAAAATCTGATTTTTTAATCTATAAATAAACTAATATCATACTTTTAAAAAAAATTAATCGAATCGCGCACAAAATATGAGAAAACACCTAGTTTATTACTATATGTCAACCAGCCCTCGTTAACCATTGTTTTTTCAAATTTGTACTTTCCCCTTATATATATCCAGATGACCAGATCCTGTTTTCGCCAGATCTTAATTCACACACATGCATGAATAAAGTGGATAGTGGAGTTAACCTATTGTTGACTTCTTTTTTACATTATTATTTATTTTCACTAAAATTATATATACAGGATGATGCATTACATCATCTAATATCGTTGTGTTATAATTTGTTTCTCAAAAATTTGGAACATACTCCCTACGTTTTTTGAAAGATTGATGTATAACATTTTTCACATATATTAAGATAGTATAATAATTACTTGTTTTAATAGTTATTTATATTTGTACTTTTAATTACATTTTTTGTTTTTAATACAAGTAAAACCAATAATTTATTTTTAATTCATCTTGTAAAACTAAATACATCTTTTAAAAACAAAAGGAGTAGTATATTATTGTAAATTGGGGACTTTTTACTTGACCCCATGTGCCTGCTCTACAACTTGATGCATTGAGTGTCGTTCCCATCCTTTTTTAAAATGTCAATTGGTTAGCCAGAACAATTTTTTATTTAAATAGATCTATATTTATTCTTATCATTTATTTATTTTTACTTTTCATAAAAAAAGAAAACATAATTTATTTTGTTTTTCTAATGTTTCAGTATTAAGTTTTAACCAACAAAATGTCCCATGCGTTTGGTGTGAGTGAATCTACTTCCCACCTAATCTTATGGGAAGCTGTTCTGTTCTACATTTTTTTTTCTAATATAAATTGTGGAAGTAATACTATCAAATTGTGAGTGTAACTCAAGGAGCCAGATGCGAACCTTAGAAGAGATGATATACTTAAGCCACGTAGAACGATGCACAAGAGTCTTTCCATAGTACTTAGTAGCGATATGTTACACATTATTGCAAGAAGAACATCACTTCAATAAGTTTCTTCAAGCAATATTAGATAAAAGACAAATCTTTCTGTTCTGAATGGTTAACATTTTCTTAGTCGATATGAAAAGAGCGGTCCAGTTATATTGAAGATAAACCAATGCTTCTTCACATTTCTCAGTGCGATGAGATCTATCGTTTCTCTGTTCATCACAATGACTTACTCAACGATAAAGAAGATTAGCTCGTGAGTTCTTCTCTGTCTCTTCCCTCTTCTTATCGTACCTTTTTATCCCTCTCTCTACCTCTTTAACATTCCCAAATTAGGTAAGCATCTTAGAGCTTCCTTATTTTTGTAGATTACAGAATATGTTTACTGAATTTGACTGGTTTTGCCCAACTGGTTTAAATCTTGATTGTGTTTATAACAATTGTTAAGTTTGAAATCTATTAAGTAACGATGTTCTAATAAATGTGTTTTCTTTCATCTCAATTCTTTCTTTGGTTTAGAGCTCTGTCTGATCAAATAGAGTTTTCTCTACCAAAGATGCCAAAAAAGATTGTAGCTTTCACACTGAAGTGGATGGATATAAAATTGCATAGTTTAGTTCGGTCACTGTTTCCGTAATCAAACACTCTTTTCAGGGATGATGAAGAAAATGCTGAGATTAAGAGTAAGAGTCAGAGCAAACAAACAGAGGATCCAACTTTATCAGAGTCAGAGCAAACAAACAGAGGATCCAACTTTCTCTGAACTTTCCAACAAGTCTTTTGGAAGTAATACTATCAAATCTTTTTCTTAAAGATAACATTCGTGCTTCTGCTGTTTGCAAGTCATGGCGGGAAGTTCTTCTTGTTTGCTCCTAGCGTTGAAGCATATCGATCACGGTATCGCTTTGAGTACTTGTAATCTTGGAGCTATCGAATGGATTACAGAGAACTTCCCTTGTTGGCCTTTTTTTGATAGATACATCCACAACAATCTTGTCTACTTCAATGACTGCTTCTATAGACTATACGGAGAAGGAAACTTGTTTTGGATTTGGTATCTTCTTACTCAGCCTAGTCTTACCAAAAACCCATTTTAGTAACAAGGATGAGTTGAAAAAGAGAATGCTCTTGGCAGAGCGTATTTTTTGTTTAGAAACTGAGAGATAATCAATTTTTCTTCTACTCTGATTTTTTTCAACAAACTAATCAGTTTAGAAAGAACCATAACATAAAAGGAAAAAATTAGTTTTGGATTTTGACGAAATCTAAAACACTAATGTCATTAATGTGTTTTGGGCTCTTTTGGCAAAGTGGACGAAAATGACGTTAATCAAACACATTGACCTCCGTTATTTCAATACAGTGTTCTGAAGCATCATGCACCACAAAGATGTCAGACGAGAATTTCATAAGGGTGCTCCAACGACATGCATGTTTATGGACTCCTTAAACCAAGCTACTAAAACTAGATGGGCCCTCAAAGGCTTCAAGGGATTAAGTCTTGGTGCTATTCACCAAGGGATCAACTATAAACTACTATGACGTTGTGATAGAAGGGCAACACTTCTGTACCCAAGCTTGTTACCTGAGATCTATATTGGAGAGGCATCACACCATTCACGTGTGTTTATCTACTGTGTACACCCATACACACATAATAAAACAGAAGCTAGGTCAGTTATATTCTTATCTTGCTCTGCCTCAACCGCAAATGTTTTTTTACTGTTGTACCAGATTTGCACAATGACATGCAGCTTCTCTCCTTACACCCTTGGCTTCAAGAAGATATTTTTTGGTGCAACCTAGACTATAGAGAGTTGAGAAGACTTTGGTTTTTCTTAGGCACAGTGGCCCTGCACCAGGCCATCTGGTCGAAAACGTACGTGTGGCATCAGGGTGACATGATACGGTATACATATAAGATCAGAAATTGTCCCTCACATTTGGAAGGACGTTGGAGGCTATAGGGTTACCAATTACTGTTCGACGCAGTAAGAGTCTTTTATGTTCTTTAGACGTCCGCCAAGATAAAATCTATGTTGATTGTGTTTTCTAAAGAAATGCCTTTGCTTAGTGTGAAGTTCAAAGAGCCCACTGATGTTTCCTTCATCAAATCCTACTCGTGATTGCTTAGGAGCAAGCAGTTTTTTGGAAAGCTATGGACCAAAAGCTTACGTTTAAGATAACCCAAAAAGATAGCACAAAGAAACAATTTGTACTCTTCAATATAAATCTAAGTATCTAGCAATTTTGTAAACATGGACAAGTTTGACATTATTAAGTCACACATATTAACGGAACTATCGAAGTGTTTACTTGTAAAAAGTGAATCTGGGAAACAGCATCAGATCTTTCTTTTCTGAAATAATAAAGCTGATATGAAAAGATGGTAAAACATGCAAAAGCTATTAAAGGACCGAAAAGAAGACATGTGACCACCATATCCACTTTTACATATTTCTATGGTAGAAAGATAGACACTATGATTAATATATATCCTCCCTAATTTGAAGCATACATTAGAGAATATATGTCATATTTCGAGTTTCTATTAGTGCTAGTGTTACCAATAATATGTCATATTTCGAGTTTGAAGTTGGTATTATTATTACGGATATGGAGAAGACCAAAAACAAATTGTAAATCGATAATTATTATATTTAGCCCTAACTAAACCAAACAATTTCTATAGATCTTCAACAAAAATATGCCTTTAGAAAGCATTATCTATAGAAAATTACAATAAATGAAGCTCTTCTATAAATAAGACCACACACATATGCCTTTTGATTGGAACACACCACAAATAGAACAAATAGTCCCACTTACACCAATGGAGCCAAAGCTAACCCATCTTTGCTATTGCCTTATACTTTTTCTTCCACTACTCTCCCAATACGCCATAGCCAAGCCTCCATCATCATCACCAAACACTAGCTACAGCATCAACTTCATTGTATCTTCATGCCGCATCACACGTTACCCAACTCTCTGCGTCAAATGCCTCGCGGCTTTCGCAAGCAAGATCGGCCGCAGCGAAAACAGGTTAGCTCAAACCGCTTTAGCCGTTACTCTAGTCCGGGTTCGGTCCACAACGGTCTACGTAGCGAAGCTGACTAAAGCGAGAAGAATCAAACGGAGAGAGTACTTAGCCGTGAAAGATTGTGTTGAGAATCTTGGAGACGGTTTAGCGATGTTGGCTCAGTCGATGAGGGAGATGAAACAAGTGGGTCGATCCGGTCGTGGTCAAGACGAGTTCTTGTGGCGGCTAAGTAACGTTGAGACTTGGGTGAGTGCTGCTTTAACGGATGAGACGACGTGTCTTGATGGGTTCGATGGAAAAGTTATGGATGGTGTGGTGAAATCGGCGATTAGAAGAAGAGTGGTTCATGTGGCTCGAGTTACTAGTAATGCCTTGGCTCTTGTAAACCGGTTCGCAGCTCGGCATAAGTCCTAGATTCGACTGATAAGATTGAAGGAATATTCGGTTCTTATTTAGATTTTGTCATATCTTTTTTTTTTCTTCATTTATGATAGTTTGTATGTATATGTGTGTCGTCATGTGATGTTTATGTTTTTGTCATGGTTGTGAATTAGAGATAAACGATGATGTTGATTTGGTTTATGGGGAAAAACAATTTGGCCAAAAATTTCGGCTTTACTCCTACATATCAATATAATTTAGTTAAGAGTCGTTTTCATTTTACTTCTCACAGTCAATATTGCAATATTTAAAAGTACCATCTGCTAAAACATTTCGTTTTCTATCATGACTTTTGATTTTAGTGCATTTGATATATAGTTTTATAATAATTTCATAGACTTTAATATCATACAACATTTATTTGAAAATAAAACATAAAAATTACAAGATATCGTTTTTGACCTCCAAAATGTTTGGCCAACTCCGGCTATGGCGAGATCCTCTGCACATAAAAAAAAAAATGTTCACCTTTGAGTTAATTATTGAAATCCGAGTTCTAGATTGAGTAGTTCAAATATACTTTTCGATTTCAGCGAGAAAGGAAACAAAAAAAGTTAAATTCTAAGATAAGCCTAAACTATATCGGGTCCCAAAGATACTTCCAAATGAACATAGATGCCAAGGATTATTGTATATTGTTGAAATGTTCAGAAAATTATCTTTACCATTTCGAGCCACATCAAATAACCAATGCTGTTTTCTAAAACATAATAAAATCTGAATTATCTTATCTGTGATGAGAATGCATTACTTCTTTCCACATAAGCTACGTTACTTTTGGCAGTTTTGGGAGCAGGTGGGAAAATCTTATCACTTGTGTACATTAAGTGCTCATTTAATTAATCAACACAACAATAACATAAAAGTCTCTCTATAGTTTGACACCCCAGCTTTTTAAAGCTTTATAAACATGACATCTTAGCAAAAATAATTACCAATCAAAACATTTTATTAATACATTTCATCTACTTATTTTAAATTTTAAACTTAAACCTATTAAAAACCCAAATATTTTTTCTATTAATTTTTTACCAAACCCAAGCCCAAATAATTAATAACAGTAAATAAAAAATTATTATTTTATTTTTTACCAAACTCTGACTCAAATAATAAATAAAATAAATAAATAATAAAAAAATTATAGTTATCTGTTTGTTTGACATAGACGTATATGATTGAAAAAGTGTAGGCTCAGCATCAACTATGCTTCCTTGACAACAACGCAAAAAGCCTTATGTTATAAGAAGCTCACACATCAGCAAAAATTTGAACCGATAAAAACATAACAATTTCTTTGTTTTCGCTGGAAAACATAATTTTATGGGAGATAATACAATTTTTAGTTTTCACGGGAAATTGTAGTTTATTTGTTTCTGTAGGAAAGCGTCATTCTGGGCTTAACGAGAAAACGGTTTTTTTTTGGCAGGAAAAGACGATTTTTCAGTTTTCGCAGGAAAAATAAATTTTTCGATTATGGCGAAAAAATACAACTTTTTTGGTTTTTGCAGGAAGATGAAATTTTTGGTTTTTGTGAAAAAAACGTAATTTCTCGGTTTTGGTGGAAAAATACAGGTTCTCGCGGGAAAATGAAATTTTAGGTTTTAGGTTTGACGAGAAAATGAATTTTTTGGTTTTGGCGGGAATAGGCTATTTCTCAGTTTAATGGGAAAATGAAGTTTTTTTGTTCTGACGGAAAATGCGATTTCTCGATTTTTATAAGAAGATGAAATTTCTCTGTGCTAAATTTCCAAGTTAAAGTATGTTTACAGTAACCAAAATTTAATTATTTAATTTTAACTAAAACGATATTTTAAGAGTTCAAACATAATTTTTTATTTAATTCTAAAGCAATAGCAATGGTTTTGATATGAATGTTATTGATTATAGTTTGGTAGTTTTAGAAACATATGTTTATAATAAAATATTTGATAAATAGATAAATTTTATAATTCAAAATAATCATATTAATTAATAATTTTTTTTTAAAATGGAATTTTGCTTTATATAATTACAAAAGAGGATCAAGTGGTAATTTATTGGAGAAAATAAATTATATTTGCCATTAGCATGAAGATTAAAAATGTATTGCTTTATTCTTATATATTTTATTCCTATATATACATTTATAATTAGTTTGCTAACTAAATTTAATAGCAAATTATAATTTTGAAAAAAAAATATATATATATATAATGTTTATTCAGATTTAAAACATATAAATACATAGTTTAAGCTAATAAAAATAAATATAATACTCATTTACATTATAAAAATAATTTTATTATATTAAAAATATATATAAAATTTAGAAAAATATCTTACAGCATAGTACGGGTAGATACCAGTCTAAACAAAACTTGAAATCATTAGCTTTTGGAAAAGTCGTAACACCAAGAAGGAGCGGTGAAGACTGGAGAGTGATGGTTATGGACACGAATTAGGTACAATGGGATTAAAAAATAAGCTTATTGCCACGTTTACAAAACCTGCAATTAGATGTATCCCTCTAGTTAACGTTATTGTTAGTATTATACTATTATTGCTTCCCTTGTCTCCTCAAAAGAGCATTTTAATGAAATAAACTATGGTTTTTTGTTAAACATTTTTATCAAAATGCAAACCGAGAGATATTTTTCACATGGCATTTCGGTTTACGTCTCGCTAAACGATGCTACACTAAAAGACTAAAAGTTGTGTGTGGTCGTATTATAGGACCGCGAAAATCCAGATTGAAAATCACGAATATAAAAACGATTGAAAATAATAATATAGCATAAAACGATTGAATAAAACGAGTAAGAAAAAAAACGAAAAATACGGAGTCGAGATATGATCTCTTTCCTTAATTCTTTAAATCTCCCGCAGTGTGGCGGTTTAAAGAGATTCAGAATCCCATGATACAACCGTGTTGAGACTAAAGTCGCAACACCCGACTATAGAATCTGCGAACTGAAAATTCTACGCTATACTCTCGAGACTCACCTAAGACTGTAAAGACGAGAGGGATTTGTTGGATATTTGTGTTTTCAAAAGCTATAAGTTTTCGCTGATGATGAATAATGAATGAGAGAGGCGACGCGGATAGAAGGATTGGGGCGCAAAGGTTTGCTTTGGTCGCCACTTATAGATAAACGGAAATCTTCCGAAAATCTTCTATTCCTTAATCGCAAAGAATAATAGAAACAAAAATATTCCAGAGATCTTTTATTCTTTTCTGATAAGGATCTGGACGAAACAGATATATTATGGAAATATTATGTTATTAATTTTCGACCTAATCATAAAGATTTATCGAATTATGCAAATTATCTTTAAAGAATATTAACATATTTGTAAAAATAAATATTTACTCCAAAAACTCACATTCACCAATGACCCAAGCCTAAACCCGGCTCAACACGGCGCACGCGCGTATGTGGTTTTGCATAACAGCCATTTCTCTCCTTCTCCATAGTGTCCTCTTCTAAAGGCTAGTGAACCTTGTTGAGAATGTGTTACTATATATACTAGTGAAAAATTCTTCTAACTTTTGATGTGGGACAAAATGCTCATTTTGATATTTGTTGATTTTTTGTCTTAATTATATGCTCACTTTGAACAAAAATTTCTCATTCAAATCAACTTCGTTTTTGACAAGTAAATACATTATCTTACAGTACTCATTACAAGAAATCTAAAAAATCTATAATCCAATCATTTCGGTAACTGTGTTCATCGAAAATGTCGCCGAAAAACTGGCATAAGCCATTTGTCAAAAAAGAGTTCCAACACGTACAAGTTCCAGTTCCACCCAAGTTACCATAACGTGCAATGCACGTGAAGGCTTTACAGCTTTTTACCTTTAAAGTTTCATACACAACGGGAAGATTCTTTTGGAAAGATTCGATCAAGTAAACATAAAATCAAGAAAAAAGTTCATACGATAATAACTCATCAAACTTGACCCAAAACCAAATCAGAATCTCAGTTTTTATTTAACCAAAGACACATCTTATGTTTCATTCCGGTTTACCATAACCAATTTACCGGACCTGAACAATACCAGCACTAACAAGCTTCTGTATCTTGTTCATAACGATTGGGTTCTTCATATGCTCTTGTGCAGCTTTCTGATTCTCTTGAAAATCCACCAGTACCTGCAAAATTCATTAAAAAGGACATCGTCACACACAATTCCTAAACTCAGCTCCTAAGCAGATTTCAATCCAGACACAACTGTTTTTACCTGTCTCATCACCGGATCCGACAATATGTTCTGAACTTCTGGATCTTGCATTGCCTTTGCCTGTCTCTCCTTCAATTCTTCCGGCGTCAGATCACCGCGGCTCGCTTTGTTTATCTGTTCCACACATCTGAAAGAGAGCGTAGCAAACACGTTCACTAAACCGACTCGAAACACAAAGCTTTAAACAATAAAAGAGAGAAACAAAAAGTTTGCAAACCTTCTAACACCATCAAGCAACTCTTGGTTCTTGGGATCATGTTTCAGCCCTTCTTGATACGTCTCCATGGCTTTATCGTATTCCTTCATGAAAAACTGAATCGCTCCTTTCCTGCTGTATCCTTTGGTGAAGCTCGAGTCTAGCTCAATGCATTTCTCAGCATCTTTCAATCCCTCTGGTAACGCTCCCAGCTTTGTGTAACAAGCAGCTCTGTTACTATACGCCTACACCCAAAAGAGTGCTCACTAAGTTTCCATATTTCTTCATACTATGTGCTTAGCTCAACACGAAAGAGAAACGCTCTTACCCTCACGTCCCCTGGGTTTCTTTTAATTGCTTCTGAATAATGCTTCACTGCCTCTGGATACTTTTGCTCCTTAAAGAACTCATTACCTGCATGGAAGGAGGAATGTCAAATGATATATCTTTACATCAAATAGCGTTGCGAGATTGTTATCAGTGGTCAATTTTACCTTTCTCACGCTCTTCCTCGGCTATCTTAGGATCAAAGTACTCCTGTTGCTCCAGCTCTTTCTTGGCTTTCTCAGCATCGTTCAGTTTCTTTAGTGTATCCGGATTGCGATGCTCTGTAAGAGCTTTCTGGAAAGACTCGATCGCAGGTTCAAAGTCTTTTGAGCATTTCGCCATTTTCACCAGTGCAGATCCTTTCCTAGTGAGAGCTTTTGCTATCATCTTGAAGTCAAATCGAAGCTCTCTGCCTCTTTCAACGGCCTTGTCACAGTCTTGAATGCATTCCTCATACTGATGATATGCATTCGAAGAAATGCACATTTCAAATCAGGCAACCAAATGTTACATGAAAGGCAAGTAACATCAACACTTTGACTAACACATAAACACACACACACAAAGGAATCTGAATTTTATCTAGACGTGTACTCAAAGTAACAATAAAGAAAGCAACTTCTTCAGAACAAGTGAACACTTAAGTCAAACACTCTTCGTCTCCAAGAAGAAGCAGATCCTAGTCATCACAGATCCATCATGTCATCACAAAGAAGCTTCTAAGTTAACCCAAACCCATCATATCATCACATAGTGATAAGCTATACTAAACAAACAACTTACTTCATGAATCTCAAATTTCCTTCTTCCTATAAAGTTACGAGCTTTAAACCAAGTTCAAGATTTAACGAGAAGCATATTCCTCAGAACAGAACATAGAACAGAGCAAAACAAAAACAAAAACCGAACTTTTAAAGAAGTTGAAGCAAATACCTTCCCCATTTCAAGATAAACAGCAGCCCGATTCGTAAGGTACGAAATGTCTTCATCATCTAGCTCCATCGCCTTAGTGTAATGATCAATAGCTTTCTCAAAATCCTTCTTCTTGTAAGCAGCGTTTCCTTGTTCTTTCTCCTTCTGTGCCTTCTCCTTCTTCTCTTTCTTCTCTCTATCCTCCTCCGTCAACTCCATAGGTTCTGGCTCCGGCTCCGGCTCCGTTTCAGGCTTCTTCACAATCTCAGGCTCCTTCCTCGGCGGTGAAGACGAATCAGCCTCCTGCATCTCCACATCTTCTCCCTTTGATCCACCAAACTTAACATTCAACAAAACCCCTAACGCCTGCATCACTCTCTTATCCTTCATATACAGATTAAGATTATTAGGGTTCTTCTGAATGTCCTGCATCGTCTTGACGAAATCAGGCTGCTGCAAATAAACCCTAGTCCCCGGATCCGCCGTCAATTTCGCCCACATCTCCGGCCCCTGAAACGCCTCGACAAACGGATTCAAAGCGGACGGCGAAGCGCGTGGTCTCGACGCGTCGGCTAATCCCGATTTGAGCGTTTCGTTGTTGGGATCAAGCTCTAAACCTTTCTTATACGCGTCCGTCGCTTCCTTGAACTGAGACAAACCTATGTACGCCGCTCCTAAACGGCTATAACCTTTAGACCAATCGGGTTTAAGCTCCACAGTCTTCTTCGCGTCGGATAATGCTTCTGCGTAGCGGTGGAGAGAAGCGTAGGCAGCGGATCGATTCGAATAGAGGACATGATTGGTCGGCGAGAGGTTGATCGCTTCCGTGAAGTGTGCAATTGCGGCGGCGAAATCTCCGGAGGAGAAGGCGGCGTTTCCTTTGGCTTTTGCTTCTTCCGCCATTGAAGACAGAATCGAGTAGGAAGAGAAGAAATGTTAGGTACGACGAGAATCTGTTGGGTCGAATTGTTTAGCATTTTCGAGATGCGATGATGGCGAAATTTTAAAAAGGGAGAGACTGAAGGATGGAGAATGCTAAGCGATTGGGAGAGACGACGAGAGAGTTCTGGAAAATTCGAATTTTTTATTTCCTCGAGAATGTTCGTCGTCGTAAATAGCCTTTGAAACAAAAATTGTAGACGCTCCAGAGAGGGTTTGAACCTCTGACCTTGTGGTTAACAGCCACACGCTCTAGCCAACTGAGCTACTAGAGCTTATTGATTAGGGATATGTGGAAATTGTTAATTACCATTATATAATTGCCTTAAAAACAATTCAAAAACGCTCCAGAGAGGGTTTGAACCTCTGACCTTGTGGTTAACAGCCACACGCTCTAGCCAACTGAGCTACTAGAGCTTGTCGTTTAGTTACTTGTGTTAATGCTTGTTAACTATAGCGTTGAAAAGAAATTGAACAATAAATTACATATCTTATTACTATATAAAATTTAATACTATTTTAAAATTATAAGTGATAAATAATTATTTGAATTGGCATTTTCTGTATTCTATAAGAAATATTTCTTTCAATATTGGATCGGTAATTACACCGTGTATACAAGAAAAATTAGTAATATTCACAAATTTCCTCTATTTTCCTTTCTTCTCCTCTTTTGATTTTTGACTTTTTGCACCCTCAGTTAAAAAAACTAGAAAAAAAAAAAAAGTCAAACTAGATAATCTTGTAAGTTCTCTTCCTGCGGCACTGATCCCATGCGGCGATCCTCATCTGAACTTTCTCAAAATCAGAAACCCGACACGGAATAGTGATCCGACCCGGTTGGTCAAACCCATGAACCCGCTCCGCTTGCTCCAACAACTCTCCGAACAATGGGTGATTGAAGTAAATTACCGGCACCACCACCCGCCGCGTATCGCCGTCAGATTCGCCGACGTGAACCACCAAATGTCCCCTAGGAACAACCCGCATCTTCGGATCCTTACCCAGACGGGTCTGACTCTGACCCGAACTCTTCTTACCACCGCACAGTCTCTTGGCTCCACGGCTTAGAGACCGAGCTAATGAGCGAATTCCGGCGATCGGGTTGGTGATTCGGGTCGGGCATTGGCGTTTCGATGATTGAATTCTTCTGGGTCGAATCCATTTGAAGATCTTGACGAATCTGTGTCCAATTTTAAAACCTCTGACTCTCTTCATGCTCTTATGATCGGATTTGGGTTCTTGAAAAATGAAGTGTTTTTTAGGAATCTGTGAAATGGGTTTGTTTGAGATCGAGAGATAGATAAATTATGGAGAAATTTGGATTTTGCTCTCTCTGTATTGTTGAACAGTTGAAGAAGACTGTTTTGGGTATGGGAAGGAAGAAACCTCTTATATAGGAGGAGCCAAAGCTATGACCGTTGGATGGTAACATGTGTGTGTGCGTGCGTGTTTAGATGTATACTTGTGCACATTGATGGACAGTTTTGCAAATTCAACATTTTAATATTTTATTTTTGTTATATTTTAATTTTAGTTTACTTTATATATTCTTTTAAAACGTGGAGAAAAGAGTTGAGGAAAAAGAAATTATTGTAAAAAATTATTATATGCAAAACAATGATATAATTAAGCGAGAATTATTAATATTTTCATTTTTCAGCTTTTTATATTTTTATATTTTTCATTTTCATGAATACGTGATTCTTAATATTTTTCACAGCTCATCTTTCTCACCATCTCCTACAATATATACTATTCATTAAATTTTTATATTAAAAAAATTGATTATGTAATATATTGATGTGATGTGCCAATCTTTAAATTTTGCAACTCTAGTAATCCCAAATAAAGGTATTAAAGTGATAAAGTAGTTGAATCCAAAGGAGGCAATTCCAAAAATTCACTGAATATATAAACCACTTTATAAACTAAGCAAATACGATAAGTGGTTTTTGGTGATTTCAAAAAGTCTAAACACGGATGAGAAAGAAAATAATCATGAAATAGAAACTAAACAAGAATCTAAAAAGCTGAATTGAGGACTCAAACTATGATGCAAGTAAAGTACTTAGTGTATAAGTGAACAAGCTAAAGACAATGACGATGAGTGTGGCAATGGGTAAAGCAATGGATAAGGTATGATCATACCGTTGGTGTTGTTTTTTTTTTAATAAATACTACTTATGAAAAACTTACTTATTTTCGTGAGACTAACCTTTTACTAATCAACCTATTAAGCTAAATGTTTGTTTGCAATCAAAAGATTAGCAAGCATTACAAGAAAGACTACCAATTAACCTAAATGTTCGTTTGCAATCAAAAGATTTAAAAACCGTTTCAATAAACGATCTCCATCCACCAAAGAATAATAAGCTCAAATAGAACTCTTTTTTAACATTTTCACACATCTTTCGGACATGAAAAAAAAAATTCTAAGTTTTGAATAATCAAGTCTAAACCTAGCATTAAGCAAGTCTCAAATGATGAAAAGCATAAAGATGTATCCTATAACATCAAAACTAAACAATTGTATCAAAACCAAGTGAATTTGGCTTAATGGATTCCATATTTTCGATGTACATGTTTTTTCACAGTTTCATGATTGTGTAATATTATTGATCAGAAGTTTGATTTATCTGAAAATGCATGTAGTATATTTTTTTAGTCTCTAAATTGACAGAATCACAGAATATAATTTTAAGTACTAATGGTAAAAAAAATTAAAATATAATTACATCCATTATATTTATTATTTCAGATAAAATTTAGAAATTCTTGTTCTGGTCTCGTCATTCTATCATGTTTCCCAATGAAAATAAAAGCTTGTCTCGTATAAGAATGCGTTTCCATATGAGATGGAAATTTACGATTGGAAACTAGAAGGGACATGACATGAATTTTTCCCATCCCAGTGGAGATCAATCATATATACCACATCGATTAACTTGACATTTTCATCTTACCACTCAAATAAAAGAAGGTACAGCAGTTTTTTTTTTTTACAACAGTCTCAAATTCTTAAAACGGGTTGGATATACAGGCTGGTGGAAATGAGTTTACATAATGTAGGTGATGAAGGTAAGTTCGAGCACTCCATGCTAATTTGTCTGTCTTCGTGTTCTGTGCACGGGGAGTGTATGATACAGAGCAAAACTCAAACTTCTGTCGACTCCGTTCGTATTCCTCCAAATGTAACGAGAAAGCTGACCACTCCACTGAATTAGACACCATCTTCACCAGCTCGGAACAGTCTATATAAAAAAATTCCTGATAAATTAATTAGTTATTTTGATATGTCAGTAATCTTTAATGTGTTGAATCTTCTGATTATATTTTGATTAATAGACATTTATGATTATGTGAGTTAGTAATAACATGTTTCTTGTTGTAAGCATCTAGGATGATTCGATTTGTTTCTTCTATGATATACTCCATTATAGGTTTAATTAGTATGTTGTTTCTTTTGAATAATACAATAGCAGATGCATATATGTATCTATGTAGTTATAAGATCAGATTTGTTTTCTTTGTTTATCGTATAAGTCAGATTTAATGATGGTTTTGATAAGACAACTTGGAACAACGCATCTATAAATAAATGTTGTAGTTGTAGAGATATCAGATATAGTTAAGATATGGAGCTTACATAACCCAGTTTCATAAAATTCTATATTATTATTTTTAAGGGAGTTTTAAATAGCTACAAATGAATTGAAATTATAAAAATAAAGAAGAGGGTTGATGAAGACAAAAGGCATGCAACTGTGTGCGAGGGACATAGAGTGGGATTTGGTCGGCGGTGGACACGGCGCGTGCGATCTTTGAACATGCCCCGATTCACTGCAAGTGCTTCGTTCTGTTTGAATATTATTGTGTTGCATAATTATTTCTCTTTTTTGGTTTGTACAAACATAGTTAGGTAGTTTATTTTGAAGTTTTAAAATATAAAAGATAATGAAAAACATGCATTTGTTTCTAAATATATATACGTATAGGCCAAAGTTTATACCATCCCTTTGTTTCTTTTAATAAGATATTAGTTGATCATCACCAATAATTTTGTGATTCATATGTTAATTACTCAATAGTCATTATTACTATTTTCGTGTTTATATATCAAAAATGTTGGGTAAGTTTGCTTTGATGCGTTTTCTTCTATATATGATCATGCGTTAGCAAAAACAAAGAATACGTTATACTCATAAACATATATGTTTATGTTTAAGTCCAAGTCCTGTACATTAGCCATTAATTTCTGCTTTCTTTTTTTTTTTTCATTCTCAAGATCTAAACATTATAGACAACTGATTTAAACAAGTCTTCTCTTTTTTAACTCAAGCAAGTTTACTCAATAACACTGACAAGATTTTGATTAGTGTTTTAAGCTCATTTTCTCAATTCATCGAACCCAACAAAAAAAAAACGATTTCAAAAGTCAGAACGTGGAGCGTTCGATGTTACATCTATTTCTTGTAAAAAGCGAAATGTAATACGTAGAGAATAAGAGAGTGTAATAAATTGTGAAGGCATTACTATAAACCACTACACGTTTTCATATTTTCTCTTTTTTTTCCCTTGCGTACTTTTCTAGATGTTCTTCTCTTTTCTCCATCCAGTATTTCAAAAGAAAAAGATACTCCAATTGCCACGATTCACGTTATAATAGAACAATTGAAAACGTGTTAATATTTAGTTGGAGGCAGGAAAGGGAAAAAGAAGAAAGAAATTCGGAGACTTTATGGAAGGGAAGGATAGAAACTAACAATTTTATGTACTTTTGTGTACCTAATATTGAACCATACATTCGTCACTTGTTCTTATCCTTCGATGTTATTTGAACTTATTCTATAAATATTTAAATCTTACTTCACTCACATGACATCATAAGATGAATCCAATATATGTGAACGAGCGACAAAAATATCAAGAAAACTTACGCTTAGTTTATGCTTTTCTTATAACAATACAGTTTTAGGTCTTTGTCTTGAATAATAATATCATATTCCCCATTCCATATCAAATTAACATATTTCAAAAATCAATGTAAATATACATATATATTAACATAAGCTAAGGGATTTTAGCAACAACAAAAAAAACAAAATAAGCTAAGGTTTTTTTTCACAAATCGGGTAACGATATATAATATAGAAAATTATAAATTAAATAGTAGTAACGTGATGAAAGCGACTCGAGCCAAACTCAATGGCTAGAAGAATATGACATATTATTGTAGAACAAAGACAAATAAGAACAGCTAAAGAAAGTCAGCCCCAGATTTGTTTGCGGGCAAGAAGACAACTAATATAAATAACTATTTGGCATCTTCCAAGTGCTAGTGATATTGTTGCTAATCAACCAATCACGGATCTTAATGTTTTGCTGCTATAATCTTTTGTTTAAATTATTAATTAGAATAACTAACCAGCAAAACCAGTTAATTATTAGATACCGCCAATTAAATATTTGATTTACAACTTGTGGAGAGTGGAGACGCTTTAAATAGATGTCCATGTTCAAAAGATACAATACTATCATGTTTGTTAAAAAAAAAAACAGTACTATCATGTTCAAATTAACGTCAACGGTTTTACGTTCAAAACATAATTTTGCTATTTGTTACTATTTACAATATTTGTTAAAGTTTATGGATGTGTTTAAAAATGAAAGATCATTGGTTTAAAAGAAAATATATAATTTTGGAAATTCTGTTCAACTAAAATGTTGTTATTTGAGTTTGATATTATGTGATAGAGATGCGGAAGCAATATAACAAGATCTCCAAGAGAACTAGTAGCAATTTCAGGTCTTAGCTTAGACTCTGAGACAAAGAGATCAGACTATGGCAATACGGCTAAAAACCTCCTCTAAGTGCTTTCACAAACTCATTAAAAATCACAAATGTGTGGAAAATATGGGTTTTTACATGGTTCTCCTACTCTTAGGATTAGTTCGATTTTATGGCCCGTTGACCTGAGAAACCCAACTAGAGTAAAAAAATTATGTGATCTAGCTTATAGTATCTGTTGAATCGAATTATCCAAATTATAAAAAAAAAGGAAAAAAAAAACTCATTAGATTAAACAGGATGCAAGTTCATAGGTGGTTCTTTTACAAAGTCCTAAAACGTCTATTTATACTAAACTAAGCTAATCTTTCCTTCAACATACTTTCCCAATTTCCCTAGGCCCAGTTTCAAATAATTTGACCGAAATCTAGGGGGTCGACGACCAAATCGCAATATGCATAGTGTATATTTTTGGCACATAATTAAATTTTTGATACTACCAAATTACAATGTACATTATTAGGCCCACTTAAGGCCCATTTATATTCATAAATCCCATGCTAAGTGATAGATACATATGAGTTGAATGTAATCTGTAGTGTTTTGTTCCTCTTGTAAATTAGCATTGTTGTACCATTTTTCTTTCTTTCATAAACTAATACTTTCAAGTTTCAACTCTGTAAGATGCTTTTCACTAATTATATATATAATAAATACAGAAGTATTTAATTTTTAGAAATATATTGCCTTCTTCTATTTCTATATTTAAGTTATTATATACATCATCAATATTAATATGAATACTTTTAATAAAAAAACAATATTAATATGAATATGTATTTGACAAATGATATATAACCAAGCATGTGCAATTCTAGCCTCGATGATTCCTAGAAACCAAATCATCATTTTGTCTTAGTTCGAATCGGAGAAAATTAGAAAAATGAAAAAGAAAACAAAAAAGTAATCACATTGGGGAGACTCGGAGTTTATTGAATTTGAAGAAATTGCCTCCACATAGCATCATAATTATTCCAGAATCCACTAAAACTAGCTCACACTCAGTTCTTCCCTCTTTACAAAGTGTCTTCTCTCTCTCTCTCAATCCTTTACAAAGAGAATCTCACACGTTCACAAACATAACACAAGTGACTTATGATCAACGTAACAATAGAGAATAAATATACTAAGTTCAAATCAATCACCTATACATTTTTAGAGATACGACAATGTTTAGCCTTGTCTTAGAGCCAATAGAACCATTTTGTCAGAGGATAATGGTTCCATGTTATTTTTTTTTTGTCATTTGCAAAAATCACCAGAAATTTCTGACATAGAAAATGGCTTCTTCTTTTCTTTTTCTTGTCAATTTTCAAAATTGGCAAAAAAGAGCCAAATACAAAAAAGGCAGGGACAAAGATAGAAAAGGAAATCAAAATAGAGAAAGGATCCAGCTGGAATTGTCAGAGAGACAAAAGCTGATGATATCCAACCAAAAGATAAACTATATTCTTTCCACCTCACTTTTTATCATTTTGGGACCTCATAATACTCTTTTCCATTTTCTTCTATTTTTTATTTTACTTTGAAAAATATACCAATAAAAATTCTCCAATTACATTAGCAGTGTTGAAAAAATATGTCATCTAAACGGTCAAAAACATTCAGATGCTTCGATTTTTGAATAATTTCCTTAATAAATTGGTAAATAAACGAAACGAAAAAATGTTCTTAACATGGCCAAAAATAAGCCCTTTTTATATTAAAAAAAAAACATGGCCAACATTTGGGTTCAAAATAGGTTGAAATTGTGAACATTTGGTATGAAAATAAATAATAACAACAAAAGCTTTTAATAAAATTTCAACATAATAATGAATGTGTTGTTTTCGTCTTCTCAAATAAATTAAATCCCGGGAAAAGAATAAAACAACAGACCGAATCCAAAAAAAAAAAAAAAAACAAGTCAGAGAAATCTAACAACCCCCAAATAGAAAGAACCGTGGAAACGTAAAGAAGAAGAATCATCATCTCTGGTTCGATTATCAACAAAACCCTAGAAAATTTAAAAAACAAACCCCTTAAATTACATTTCAACGCATAAGCATCATCATCACGAAAGCCATAACCACCATTGAAAGATTCGTGAATCCAACGCTCCTCGAAGCCGCCGATGTAATCTTCTGTGGCCTGAAACAACCAACAACAACAAAACAAAGAATGAAATCAAAAACATAACTTTACCAAGAAAGAAACAAAAATGTGTGTTTCTTGAAAGTTTCTTACTTTTGTAGTTTCTTGAGAGCACCACAGTAGAGAACATTCGCAGGCGCACCGAACTCGGTTTTGTTGTTCTCGTCTGGATTCACAATTCTAACATACGTTTCTTGTCCGAGATACCAAGAATCAAGATTCTCTGTTCTTAGATTCCAAGCTCCAGGATTGTCCATAGATATCAAGATCGCTGACCACGCCCCTGGATACACCTGCAAGAACCAGCCCCAAGCAATGCCTTTTAGAACGCGTTTGAGATTGCTTATGTTATAGTGTTTGAGATTGATTGAGTTATTACCTGAATCGTTGAGCGGGCGATACCATCCCATTTGTTGTAAGTTCCTCTACTGTTCTCTGTCCACTCTCCATAATCCATCCTGCAACCAAAACGTTATTCAAGAATCCGAGAGAAATCGATAATAGAAAGGCAGAAACTTTGTAAGTAACTCACCCGACGGCGAAGAAGGCGTAGCCACTCATGTGATAGCTCTGCATCTTAGTGTCATTGTTCTGAAAAATGACTTCCATGAATCCACGGTAAGTGCCATTGATGATCGAAGTCTCGGTTCTAGGCGGTCCGGTTAAAGGTCTCTTAGGGAAATCAAGCTTATAGACTCCATTAACCTTATGCTTATCAGCTAATCTAATAGGAGTAGAAGGATTCACAAACGATATGCCATTAAGCGTTGTCTTCCTCTTCCCATTGATCTTCACAGGCGGCATATTCCTCAAAACGTAGACTTCAGTCACATTGATCGAACCGTATTTAAACGAGCCTTGAGGGTTAGGACGCGCTCCACTTGCTGAAACATTCCATCTGCAACAACAAAAACAAACAACATTTGGTTTCTGCTTATCAAAGAAGAAAGGTATAAACTTTATGAAACTACAAAGAGAAAGACTACAAACCTGATGGATCTTGCTTGATTCATGGAGAAAGTTTTGTCGAATTCGTCTTGTGGACCAGGAGGCAAGTGACCACTTGCTTTACCTTTAGAGTTGGTATAGTGTAAGATTCCAACACCTGTGACTCTTCTCCATATGGTTTCGTTAACAACACGAGCACTCGCGACAATGTAGTAATCAGAGCTCGCGTTTTGATCCATAGTAACCAAGAAAGAGTAAGACTGTCCAACATGAATATCTAAGCTCGTGTAGTTCTGTTGAACAGTGTAAGATCCTTCAGATTCCGCAAGAACCAAGTTGTGGCCTTGAATCCTAAAGTTCAAACTCGTCGAGATTCCCACATTCGACACTCGAAGCCTATAAGTTTTTCCTGTTGTTGTCATAAACATTCCATTAAACAAGAAACAGAACAAACAAACAGAGTCTTTGATCAAGAAAAGCTTAAACAAAGACTCACCAGGATGAACTGTGATTGTTTCGTAATCGATTCCATCAGGAACAAGAGTCTTGTTGTATTGGTAAGGTCCTTTACCGTTAATGAGAACACCATCAGGCATTCCAAGATCTTTACCATCATCTAAAGCCTTTCTCAAAGCCTACATTGACCACACAATCTTACAGAAGTTAGGAAAGGTTTCTTGAATTGGAAGGTAAAAGAAAACAGGGCAGAAAACTACTAACCGTGTGGTTCCTTGTGTACCAATCACCAATCACAATGGTGATATCGCCGTCTGGAGTCGAGAAAGGAACTGGAATAATCGCTCTAGGGTTGACAACGAAGGATCCAAACCCACCTGAAGCTCTTTGGAAATGAAGTGATGGGAAGTAGAAGAAACTTCCAATTTGGTCCTTGACTTGAAACTCATAAGTCCAATTCCACTTTGGTGGGATTGGACAATTGGTTCCTGCAACTCCATCTTGCCAAGAAACACGTCTCTGTTGGATCCCAGACCTTTCAAGAAAAAATGATTTTTTTTTATCAATCACAAGTTCAAAACAGAGTTTATAGAGTCTTATCAAGAACAAAACTTTTTTTTTGTGAATCTCTCTCTCTTACCAGTGAAGAAGAAGCCCCTCGTCTAATTTGTTTCTCACATTCACGACCAGATTTTCGTTGGTCGTGACATTGATTGTAGGACCAGGGAACTTTCCATTTATAGCAATCACCTGATCACAGAATTAAATGAGAAAAAAATTAGATTGTTTAGAAGTTAGAACACCTAATTGTGTTCTGTAGATCTACTTTTTTCTACAGTTGGATCTGGAGTAAAAAAAGACTGAAACTTTTTGTCATTCAGGTGAAATTTTAGTAAGACTTTGGACAAATCTAGAACAAACCCTTTGACAATTAAAAAGAATTTAAAATTTTCTGGAAAAGTAAAAGTGAAATGCGTTTCTTCTTGATGAATTTAAGTATTCCCTGAAGCAAAAAAAAATATAAAGATTGAAACTTTTGAGAAATCTGAATACCCACAAACAAAGATACAAACTTTTATTAACATTTGACAAAAAAAGAAAGAAAAAAACCGAATTTCTTGGCGAGAGTAATAGATTGCTAAGATTCTTTACCGTTAATGGTAAACTAAAAGTTAGATCTTTAGCTCACTGGAACTACAGTAAATCTCTAAAATTAGAGGGTTTTCAAAATGTGGATAAATCTATAAGCAAAACCCAAAAGATCCAAACTTTGATTAATTAACTTTCAAAATCTCAAATCCCAAATTGTAAACCCAAAGAAACAGTTGCAGAAATCAAAGATCTATAAAAGATAGGAAGAATAAATCAAACCTGTTGAGGGACACCAAGTGGAGAAGCAGTAATGTAGGAGACTTCGAAGTTATAGAAAGAATATGGATCTGCAGCGAAGCAAAATCCAAAGCTCACGAAGAACATAAGAAGCAGGATCTTGATGAAATCCATTTCTTTCTTTCTCGCAATTTCTTTGCTTTTCTTCTCGAGCAGCAGCAATGAACGAACAATGTTGTTTGGGGTTTTTAAACAGATTTTGTTTAAATTTCTTTTGTGAATTTACATTATCAGACTCAGGAAAAAGGAGTTAGCGAGTGGGAGAAACTAGAAGCTATAAAGGAAAGAAACGACCCAGAGAGACAGAGACAGAAGAGAACGGCTATAATTCTAGGTTTGTTAATTAATTATTATTTATTGACAAATTATTTAGTGTATATACCAGGAAAAAAGCCGCACAACGCTCCTATAAATGTGCCTAATGTGAGAAAAATCTATCAAAAAGAATAATAAACAAAAGGGTTAATTAGTCTTTCTCTTTTTGAGTTATTATTTATCATGAAAAAAATAGTATACAAGTGAAAATATTTTTCTGCATAGTTTTATTATTTTGATCCACGCTCAAATGTTTATTATTATTACTAGATAACTTGATATATCTAGTAAAAAATTGTGTCATCGGATAAATTTTAAACACATATTAATGAGTAATAGTAGCAATTTCTTTTCGTACGGATAACCCAAAATGTTAAATCTTTAAATGAAAAAACTTCTAAAATATAGGAAAATGTATATTAAATATTCCGTGTAAAACTATTCATATCACATATGTGCATTGAGTCATCCGAGGATATTATCAGTAACTAATGAAACCTTGATGGTTATTAATTAGTTAAAAGATAGAATAAAGATAGTTTATGCATGTATTCTAAATCAAATGGTTTAAGTATAATTAATTCGAGAATCATTCTTTATACGTTTAGTTTGCTTTAATATTAACTAAATTACTAAATTTTTAGATACCTTATCCTTCATTACAGAGTTCGAAACTTCTTTTCGTCGGTGACCATCAATTTATATAAATCAGCTTAAAATTGAAGGCGTTTTAGAAAGAATCAAAAGAAAAAAGAATAACTTGACAGAGGAAAAAAATAATAAGCCAACGGATATAATGATAATAGTACTGCATGACAGCAAGAAAGAATGGCCTCAATATGGTTGACAATTTTTATATACTTTTTATTATCCACCGAAATTATTTTTTTATTTATTCATCAAAATGAGCAGCTGTAAATTTCCATTCATATAACACAGATTTCTTTATATTATATCCGACGTGTACTTCTTGTTTTTGGGCTGGAAAAACGCTGATTTCTTGTTGATGATTACAAATTTACACTGATTATGGGGAATTATTGTTTTTTTTGAAAAAGTTATGGGGAATTATTGTTAAGAAATAATTATGCATTTTAGTAATAATAATATATAGTGACTAAAATAATAGATTTGATTTAATATTTTGTCGGTTATGGAAGTGCATTATGTACGCAATAATCACATGCAGCTCGCGTGCTATCTTGTTCTAAATAACCAAATTAATTAGTAACTTTACAGTTACATTACTGAGTTAAGATTTGATTATACGGGAAAATTATAATTTACGTAAAGATTGGTATTTGAGTTTGACCGTTTGACCAAAGGTATCTGAGAAGGAGATAAGATTTTATTATGAGAGGCGCAACGCAACGGTGGGTATTTACTCTGGAAATGCCACGTGGCTGCCAGCCAAAATGAAAGAGATCCTCCTTATTTTTGATTTTTGACTACTGTGGTTTTTATTGTTTTCTCCGGACTTACAAAATACATATTGACGTTTTAGTTTTGTTTTTTTTTCTTTTACGTATACAATTCAACAACCTGTTGTTGACAAAAGAAAAATGCAAAAGAAAACTGAGATTTTGTATTATAGTTTTTGATTTGGAGATCGGTTTCTAATAAAATTCGTAGCAGATTAACAAAATGTAAAGAAGTTTGCCAAGCAATCTTTAAAGCCTTTAACAACAACAAAAATGCAATATTTTAGGCGAAAATGTCAAAACAGTATCCCTTTTATCGGTTGAACAGTGAACATTTTGATTAGTAAAAAAAGAAAGGTTATCAAAAACTTCTGGAAAAGACTATAGGTTTGAATAACACCAATGACTGGGGCATTTACCGATCATGAATCAATTTTTATAAAATATTTGTATACATATATGTATGCGCAACCATTCAAAATCTTATAATCATGTAAATTTCATCAATATAAAAGGAATATACGCCAAATGAGAATAATCTACTTTGGGCTATATATAAGGCTCTAAAACGTATAGTTCTGAAAGTAATTTTTTAAAAATATTTATTGATTAGCTTAATCACTTGTAGCAGCACCACAGGTCTAGAATTGTGAAACAGCTTAGTCATACTGTAATGAGAATTTTATAACTTATAAACCTCTAGGTCAAGATATTTTTACTTTTTAGTATAAATTTTAACAAAAAATACTATTAAGATGTATCTAAATAATATTAGATATCTTCAAAAACCTAATATTATGATTCACTTATACTAGCGTAAACGTTTCCATGTTAATATTTTTTGGTCTACTTGCTGTTGACAAACAATAAATGTCCGAAAGAAAATAAAAATATGTAAACATAGATGATATTGAGCTGTTGTAATAATAGAGCTACCAACTATTTGAACATGTGTAAAGTAATTACCAGTAGGCAACAGCTAACTTTTCCTAACATTTTGTGTAGTTGAATAAAATCATCCCAACTAGTTTCTTAATCTTTGAAAATCTTCTGTCCTCCCAATTAATTATGTAAATAATATTAGCAACGGCTAGTTCATTTTGTTGTTTGTGCAGATTCTTTCACCGATCCAAGAACAATAATAATTTGGAAGTATACAGTTTTACGATTGTTGTTGTTGTTGTTGTTGTTGTTAATGCACACATCTATATATTTTTAACTTACTGATCAGTTAATTCAATATTATGTAAAATTGTTAAAAGTTACTAATTGTGAAATATTTTTTTAATCACATATTTAACCCAAAAAAGAATTAAATGTTTGATCATACTATTTATTGTTAGCTGAATCTTTTCTATCTGCCAGATAACAGTTTGCAAAGTGTGTATAGATAATGCATTGTTTGACGAAACAAAAAAGATTATGGATCAAGTTGGCAAGTGGGGTGGAGACACGTGGTCCAATATGAACAATGGATTAGACTTTCGGTAGTCGTATCGTATGTATCTAAATGGTTTATATTTATTTATTGTAAAAGTAATTTTAGTTTCGACATTATCTTCTTGGGGGAAAAATTCTCTAAAATGAAGACATATCTTTACACAAACCCAATATCTTTTGTAATTCGCTTGGGCCCAATCCGTTGGGTTCGATTGGTGTTTGGGTTACAATCATCATTACAGTAACAAAACTATTATAAATTGGGCTTTCCAAATGGGCTTTCTAAATATCCCAATTACGCGTTTATATAAATCTCATTTACATAACCCTAATTAAAAGTTTCACAAATCTCTCTCTCACTTTTCTCTCTCGATTTTTAATATTCTCCGTGAATCTCTCCCTCAAAAATGAATCCTCCGCAAGTGAAAATTTGGTTATTCTCCGCCTTCAGTTTGAGTGAACCAAATTGTTCTTCGAAGACAACGCAGCTCCTCCATCAAACTCAACGATCATCTTCTTCCTCGAGGAGAGATCCGCCACGAAACCCTCCGTGAAAACACAGGTTCCTCCCATCGACTTCCGTAGCTCGAATTGCATCCGAGAGCAGCTCCTAAATCAACTCGCTACCCACCACCACTGGTTATGCGAACGCTTAGAGCGGTGGATCTCGACGGCTGCAACCAAGTTTGCTTCTTACGATAAAGGTTTCGAATTGAACGTCTTCGTGGAAATTACTTACGCTGCTCCTCCTCCGTCTAAGAAACAACAACGACGGTTCGAGACCGTCGCTGATCCTTTTCCGTCGAAAAAACAACGACGCTTAACTGCTAGGGGCTTCTAACTGATTTTGGGATTGAAATTAGGGTTTCGGTCACACTCTTTGTTTCTTAGGAATTTCTTTATGCAATTTTGCTGTATTATTTTCCGTTTAGAAATTGTAGTTTCACAATAGAAATTAGGTCACACGTATTGTGTGTATCATTCTTTTTTTTTGGGTGAAATTGTGTATCATTCTTGTTTTTCCTTTCGTGACTGTGTATATTGAAGTGAAACATAATTTTGGTTTTTTTTTTTTTTTTTTTTTTTTGTCGACATACATTCATTTATTAGATCAAAGTTGGTTATGTTTCTAGTAGCTGGGTATGATCTACATAGGAGAAAAGGATACCTCGTGCTTTTGCATTCTTGATAAGAAAATCAGCACAGATATTTTGGCATCGGGGTATAACACAAATACTATATGTTTCAAAAGCATTTCTAAAAGTGTTAAAAAGTTCTAATTCTGATCTGAAAGCAGGTCACTCGTCTGATCCTCTGTCATCTGAAGTAGGTTAGAGCAGTTTGTCTCAAAGCGTATTCTTTCGAATCCCTTATCCCTTAAGCAAGACATGGCCCAGAGTAGTCCATCAAGTTCCACATGTAAGGCTGAAAGGCTTCGTCGACATGCTTGTTATCCGGTAGAGGTGTGTCCAAGTGTGTCCGTCAGGTGCCACCCAAGGCCACTAACCGGTCTATGGTCGACTCAAGAGGCATCGATCTGGCAGGTTGGGACTTGGGGGGTCTCCAAGACCCCGCTCTTATTGTTTGGGTTTCTCCCTTCTTGTCCCTCCTCTTCATTGACTTTTTCATTTGCTTTTCGCCATTCTTCTGCTTCAATCTTAGAGTGTTGGAGGGTGTCCAGGGGGGAGACAATTTTTCCTCTAAAAACCTTGTCATTTCTTGCCTTCCAAATGTACCAAATGATCCATGGGAAGATATCCCTTTGGGGGGCAGGTAGCACCCTTTTTTTCTATCCTCCAAAATAGGAAATCTATGTTTCCATAAAGGGATGAGCCCGGGAAGCAGCCCGGAAGGGATGGAAAGTCCGAGAGGGCCCACACTTGTAAGGCGGGTGGGCACTGGAATAACATGTGGTTGATTGATTCTTCTGGATCTCCACATCGGGGGCAGCTTTTGTCAGTTCCTAGGTGTCTAGAAGTGAGCCTCTGGCAGGTAGCCACACTTCCAGTTAAGGTTTGCCACAGGAAGTGTTTAAGTTTTGGTGGTGCACGAATCTCCCAAACGTGGCTTAGAAGGCATGTGATGCTTGGTTCTGTCATCGCGAAGGGTTGTTTGTCCGCTTTAAGCTGTTGTAGTAATTTGTATCCTGACTTCACTGAGTAGACTCCTGATCTCGTATGGTTCCATACAAAGGCATCGTGAGTGAGAGGTTGGCTCGGTCTCATCCCGAGGATAAGGCTTATATCATCGGGATGGAAAAGATCTCGAAGTGTCTGTATGTCCCATTCTCTTGGGTCATCTCTCATGAGCTCATGGACTAGAAGATTTGGGTTCTTGTCCTCTATCGGGGCGATTCCCCTGGGCGGCCTGGCTGGATTGGTCGGGATCCAAGGTTCATTCCAAACCTCAGTGTCATAGCCCGATCCAATAGATTTCTGTAGTCCTTGGAGAAGGAGTGGTCTGGCTGCCATAATACTATTCCACCGTATGATGGGGAGTATGACTTATGGCCATCGAGTGGCCTTGATAGTCTATAGTATCTCCCAGGTAGCACCCGAGCCAACAGGGAGTTTGGGAACTGTATTAGCCACCAGAGTTGTTTGGCAAGTAAGGAAATATTGAAGTCATGGAGGTCTCTAAAACCCAGGCCTCCGTCTTCCTTGGAGGTGCATATTTCCTCCCATGCAATCCAATGCATGCCTTTAGAGTTCTGTTTTGAGCTCCACCAGAAGTTGGCGATTGCACTACTGAAATTTCTAATAACTCATTTCGGGAGCAGGAAGCTCGACATGACAAAGGTCGGAAGCGCCTGTGCTACTGATTTTATTTGAACTTCTTTTCCTCCTTTTGAGAGTAATCTTGCGGACCAATTGTTGATCCGGTTATTTAGGCGGTCTTGCACATATGCAAAAACTTTCTTTTTTTAGCCACAGATTTGTTCTGGTAATCCTAGATACATTCCCACGCCTCCTTCATTAAATATTCCTAGGCCTTTTTTATTTCTCGGCGTAGGGGTTGTGTAACTTTGCTGCCGAAGATAACTGAGGATTTCGCAGCGTTTAGTTGTTGTCCAGATGCTGCTCCGTAGGACTGGACGATTTTTAATATCTCTGCACTTTGCAGGACCTCCGCCTTGCAGAAAAATAGGCTATCATCCGCAAAAAGCAGGTGGGATACTCGGGGGCTTGCTCTGGCTATCCTTAATCCTGTTATCCGGTGTTCGGCCTCAGCTCCTTTTAAAAGGGAAATAAGAGCCTCTGTGCATAGGATGAACAGGAATGGGGAGAGGGGGGTCTCCTTGTCGGATACCACGTGAGGGTCTTATCCTTCCTTTAGCTTCTCCATTTATTAATACTTGATATGAAACGGTTGATATGTAGGTCAATAGTAGCTTAACCATCTTTCAGAGAATCCTAGCTTAAGTTGGAGGGCTTTTATGAACCCCCATTCAACTCTATCGTAGGCTTTGCTCATGTCAGTTTTAATTGCCATGAACTTTCCCTTGCAACCCGGATTAGTCCTCAAAGCATGGAAGTTTTCTTGAGCTAGTAGGATGTTGTCTGTAATTAGCCGTCTAGCCATAAAGGCTGATTGCGTCTCCGAGATGAGTTTCAGGAGTATTTTTTTCAGTCGTCTGCAGAGGATTTTGGAGACGATTTTATAGCTCACATTGCAGAGGCTTATTGGTCTAAACTCTGACATTGTTCTCGAGCGATCCTTTTTTGGGATCAGACAGATATTTGTCTGGTTATGTCTTGGGTCTAGCTTGCCTTCCGTAAAGAATTCCTGGACCAACTTAATAATATCTTTGCCCGTAACCTGACAGAATTCTTGGTAGAATCGACTAGTCATTCCGTCTGGGCCTGGTGCTTTGTCTGGTTTAATATCGAGGGATGCCAATCTTATCTCTTTGGGGGAAGGGGTTATTATTAACAATTGATTGTCCGTTGCATTTACTTTCGCGGTAATATACCGGAGCGCTTCTGAGTAGTCGGATGGGCTGGAAGTCGTGAATAAATTCTGGAAATAGTATGTCGCTACTTTCTCAATTTCAGGTGCACTCTCTACCAAATTTCCGTTAGTGTCTTTCAAGCAAATAATTCAATTTCGTGCCCTTCTTTGTTTGGTACAAGCATGGTAGAAACCCATGTTCTTGTCTCCTTCGACATGCCATTGTTCTCTACTTTTTTGGAACCAGAATTGTTCCTCTTCTCGGAAGGCGGTGCAGAGTTGTCTTCTAATTTCCTCCACTTCTTCAACGGTAGAGTTGTCATCTGCTTGTGCTATATCTAGTGATACTTTCAATTCTTCGATCAGTCTTGCCGTATTGGTGGGCAGAGTTTGCTTCCAAGAGGAGATATGTCACCGGCAGAAAGATAATCGATGGTGAAACTCTCCAGGTGTTGATCCCCATCAGAGGGTAACTGTCTCTTCAAAGCCCGGTTTCCTCAGCCATCTTTTGTCGAAACAAAAGCTTTGTCTTCTATGATGGGGCCTTGAGTGAATACTAGCCAAGACTGGCCGATGGTCGGATCCCCAAAGTTGTAGGTATTCGACCGATGAATGTGAAAATAAGGAATGCCATTCTTCATTGCCGACGGCTCTATCTAGCCGACATTTCACTTTTCCAGAACGGCGGCGTCCGACCCACGAGAGGGAATTTCCTTTTGATGGAAATTCGATCATTCCACAATTGTCGAGCATGTTTCTGAAAGGGAGGAAGGATGACTCCGGGCGACGTCTCCCTCTCCTTTTTTCATGGTTACTGGTGATCTCGTTGAAGTTGCCTATCATGAGCCAGGCATCTTGCCGAATGAGACTTATGCGAGTTAGTCTCTCTCAAACCCGTTCACAGTATTCTACTACCGGATCTCCGTAAACAAAGGTCATACAGATTTTTTTTCCTTCAAGGGTTGTTTCAACATCGATCATTCGGTTATCTGAATAGCGAATAAAAACCGGAGGGTCATTCATATAGAAGAGGGCTAAACTCCCATTTTTGCCTATTGGCTCAACAGTACAAACATTATCATAACCGTAATGGGCTTGCATATCTTGAAGAAAAGAACAACTATTTTTAGTTTCCGATAGAAATAAAAAGCTAGGGTAGAAGCAACGGTGGAGTTCGTTAAGGTGTTGTTTTGTCAGGTCGGCTCCCGCCCCCTGACAGTTCCAGACTATTACGTTCATCCTTATCCTTGCGGTTTCGATGGCTTCGCATTGGCCACCTGACTTGGTTTGGCAAGGGTCGAAATTGGAGGTGTAGTAGCGGGCTCCTCACTTGGAGGGATGTGGGCTTGGTCTCTTAAGGAATCTGATCCTTCATGTGGGCTTTGGCTAGGCCCACCAGCCTTTCCTCTTTCGGCCTTTGGGGATGGGCGGCCCTTGCCCAAAAGTTGCTTTTTGATGCTAAAGCCCAGAACGGCAGGGCTAGACGGCGTCTTCTTCTTCTCTAGGTTTGCCGGCGCTGTGTTTCTCGGTGTTGCCGGTGGTTTTCGTGTATGGTGGGGTGGGGACTCAACGTTCCTAGGGGAGGTGGTGTCGTTTTCTTTGCGTCCATCCTCCGGGAGATCGTCGCCCTCGTCATCTAGAGATTCTGAAAAATCTATGATTTGGTCCAGAGCCGCATCCCCGGATTCTTCCAACAATAGATCCTCTCCCAGCAGGTCGTCGTCCCCCAGAAGTGCTTCGTCGTAGAGGCTTTCGTCCTCCTGATTCCAGTCCGCTTCCTTCTCCCCTTCCTCGGCGAAGTCGTTGTACATAGCCAAGGCATCGATTTGTTCATTCTGCTCTGATTTGTCCGTTGGCGCTTGGTTGGTACATTTCGCGAGCACGATCTCGGCCTCCAATTCTTTCTGGGCCGCTGCCAATTTTGATTCGTTGATCGAGTGTTGCAGTTCTTCTTCTTCTTCCTCCAGAGTTATCTCATACCAGCTTTTGTTCTTTGTCGTCCCACTCTTTGTGTCTGAAGAGGTTTTGGGAGATGTAACTGGATTAGTTTTCTCTGCAGCCGCAGGAGGTGTGAATTCATTGTGGGTTTCGTCGAAAGTGAGACTTTTCTTAGCGGTGCTGCCAGATTCAGAATTTTCCCCCACGTCGATTGCTTTTCCTTTCCCATGATCGCCCATTTGACGTTGTAAAGATGATCTAAAGGGGCGGCTTCGAGTGTGGGCTGGCGATGTAGAGTGTTGGCTTGCCTGGTTTTGTCTTCTTATGATGTCTGAGACTGTTTCTTGATAGTCTGTTTGGCGGTTGTTACGCGGATCTAGGACTGCTCCCTCCCTTCCGTTGTATCGTCCGGTGGAGTGTTGTTGATGGAGAGGTCTTGTTTCTGGGAGTTGGGTCAGGGTTCTGGAGGAGGAGTTCCCCTGTTTCTTCTCAGGCCAGTCTAGTTGGCCTCTCTTTGAAGTTGAACCGCCTTCTTTGTTTATCGACGATTTCCGGTGGAAGCGTGTCAAGGAGTCGTCGTATCTTCTTTTACGATCCACCAAATCAAAATGAGGGGTTCGTTCGTCATATCTGCGGTTTGCTACGTGGGGGCCCTGGTATCTACGGGGCTCTGCGTTTTGCCGATCCTGTCGGGATCCCGAGTTAGGTTCTCGCCTCGAAAGATAGCGGGAATCATGACCGAGATCCAGGCGGTTCCAGACAATTTCTCTTTTGTGAGAGACTGCTGTTTTTGACCGTGGTGATCTGCTCTCTCTGTTTACTGAGGAGGGTGCTCGGAACGACGTCCGGACCTTGGGGATGGGTTCTCTCTCCTGGTTCTGCAAGTTTGCAGATAAAGGGCCTTGAGCCAGTTGTTAGGGTGGTGGTGGTGGAAAGGCCTCGGTTTTTCTTTCCCTCGCCGACTCCCTAGCTGTTCGGTTTTCCCTGCGCTGTTGCTCCGAGAGTTGGGGGCACGACTTCTCCTCATGAGAGATGTGTCCACAAATGAAGCACCACCGAAACAGTTTTTCATAGTTTAGTTCTATTTGCACGATTTCACCAGTAGGGAGTCGGGTTCGTTTCTTGAATTTCAGAGGAGCATCCGCGTTCACGGAGACTTGAATCTTGGCAGTGTTAGCCGAAATCGCTTTTACTTCTCCAAGGGAGTTCCCTATTTCAGAGAAAATTTCCTCCATCCAAAAGTGGGTGGGAATGCCAGTGACCTTAATCCAGAAGGTCATGGTGTGTGGGAATGATTCCCCAATGTGTGGGATCCATCTTTCAAGGGAAAAGGACCATTTGTTGAAGTGACAAGGCCGTTTGTTGAGGACTTTCAGAAGGCTCGCTTCAGTTTTGAAGTCGAACTGGAAGCGGGAGTTGCCCAGATCGATACCCTGGACCTGTCCCTCAACATCCCAGATGTTTGCTCTGGGCATGAAAGCAATGAGTGCCTCCGTGCTTCTGCCGTCACGATGGAACATTCTTCCCACCAGGCTAAGATTGATTTGAGCTATAAGAGCCTCGTTGTTCACCTGGGGGAGATTTATGATGTCTTCGTCTTCTTGTTGAAGTTGCAGGTTGCTTTCAGAGGGATTTGCCATCGTGAGGGTTCCGGTGCGGTTGCAGCGAGGTCTCGTGCAGTTACGGAGAAAGTTTCGTTACAGTAAGGAGATTTTTAGCTTTGGTACTTTGATAGCTTCTTAGCATCGGGCTAGATAAAAGCTCCATTTTAGTATATCCGCTGTGTAAGAGGCATCCTTTGTGTAACAGGCATCCCAGTAGGGGAGAATCTCGTAAATCGATGGCTGGAATAGGCTTTGTTTGATGGAAATGCTGAGTTCTTTGCCATCCCGTTTGATCCGATGGGTAGAAGGAAGAATGATGTCTGAAAATAGGTTGTCACATGTTGAGGGAGGACGTATTAGGAAGGGGAGCGTCGGGTGTGGATGTCGGAGGCAGGGGCACATAATTTTGTTATTCTCTTTCGATTTTTAAATTTTTACAAGTAAACATATGTATATGTATGCGTAAACATTCCTACAATCTGCATAGAGCGTACACAGCTGAATCTAGTAATCAAACTCGAAAAGATGAGAACTTTGACGCACGGAGCTATACATGTGATCACAGCTGATCCAATATGCACAACAAACAACAAAAAAAGTAAGAAAAAAAAATCGTCTGATGCTTGATTTATGTATAAGATTCCTTATAAGAAAAGAAAAAAAGATTGTTTGCAGATAAATGTTCAAAGACTACGTTATTGAAATACCCTTCATAGAGAATGACATCATCTGTTTGTAGAGTAAACATCCCTGCGATTCCAGGAATACTTATGAGCGGAGGAACAGTCTTTGGACCATAGTCATAGTAACGCCATTGCTTTGTCCCAATCTGTGGTTAAGTTATAAGACCAAATATATTTTGAGCAAATGACATTCCAAAAAACCAAATATATAATTAATAATGGAAAATTTTCATTCTGATTCTTGAAATAAAAGCAATAGATGTACACAGCTCAACAAATTAACAAGAATCTCAAAACCTTCCCTTACTTACACAATGAGAATGATTTATAAATGTATGATGTTTTAGGATTTTTATTTGCTTATGATTATAAATAAAAAAATTGAAAAAAATATACTTTTTAATGATTTAAGATACTTTGTATTCAAAATCAGCTCATGAAAAACCCAATACCAGCCCACATAAATCTAGAAGTAAAAAAAAGAAAAGGAAATGGTATGGTTGACAAGAAAAAGGAAAGTTTTAAACAAAGCAGTAAAAAGGAAACTGATCGATATAACCGTTAAGAACGCCAAACAAAAGAAAATACTCCAGTGAGGTGTCTATACATCTCATTGATTTACATAACCTTTAAGCTTCACAGTTCTCTCTCGATTTTTGTAGGGTTTCTGTGAATCTCTCTATTCTGAGTTCTGATCACTGAATCAAACATGAATCCTCCTCCACAAGTTGAAGCTCACGTCGGTCGAGTGTTTAGACGTTCTCCATCACAAGGGTTCGAATACTCAGTCTTAATCCACGTCGAGGAGATCTCCGACACGGGTCGCTCCGGCTTTCTACTGGATCTCGTCGATCTACGTAGCACAAATCGCGATTACATCCGAGTCTGTCTCCTAGATGAGCTCGATAGCGACCACCGTTGGATATCCGAACGCTCGGATTTGGTCAGCATGATCTCGAGGGAGGCAACCTTGTCGGGTTTTGGCCGTAACGGTTTCAGGATGATCATCTCCGTCGAAATTACTCACCCGACCGTCTCTGTTCCTTCTCCGACGAACAACAACGAATACGAGGCGAGTTTAAGGATGGTCCTACTAGGAGGAAAGGGGTTAAAGAGTTTGAAGATGGAAACAGAGCCGTGTTGTATCTGTCTTGACAATATCTCTGGTTCGGATTCGAAACGTGGTGTGACACGCATGACATGTTCCCATGTCTTTCACCAACGATGTCTCTTGGAGTGGCTTAAACGCAAGAACACTTGCCCCTTGTGCAGGACTGTGCTCACGATTGTTGATGATTTTGGAACAGAAGAAGATTGAAATTAGGGTTTCATCTACTGATTGCACAACAACTTCGGTCACACGCTCCGTCTTAGAAATTTCTTTATGCAAATTTGCTGTATTATTTCGGTATCAAAGTAAGCAACTGTAGTTTTCGCAATTGAATTGGTCACACGTATTTGTGTACTTGAATGCAATTCTTGTTTTTCATTTCGTAACTTGTATATTGGAGCGAAATATAATTTTGGTATTCTCTTTCGATTTTTTTGATTTTCATAAGTTAACATTTACCAAGTTCATCAAAGAGAGTACCCATCAAAACTAGTAGCAGTTAGTACAAAATCATCGGTAGATAAAACTCGCCGGAAAGTTTCAACCTTTATTAGTATAACTAACAGTGGAATACAAAAAAGCCATTCACATTAAAAAAGACAGCTTCCCAATCACCGGAAAGTATAAAAACTGCAAAAAGAAAGCTGAAGAAGGAACAAACTTGTAATCGGAGCAACATCCACAAGAAACTCCAGAGAATCTTCTGACTTCACCCATTCAATCCTCAACTCTCACCGTAGTCACTATACGGCGGCTGTTTCGGATTGACTCTGCTGTGACCACTCAGCCGGCCACCACGTCGGTCTAATCGCCTGCACTTTCACATCCTCCGAACCTTTTACAGTCAATTCAGTCGATGCTTTGAAGGCTTCTTCTACCCTCATCACACCCATTCCTCGGCTTCCCAACGCCGTCGAAACCGTCCCCATTTTCTTGCCGGTTCCTGACTCAACCACTTCAGCTCCAGCCGCTATTTTCTGGTTCACCTCTGCATAACCAAGAACCGGGAGTTGGTTTTCTTGATCATAAAGATTGTAAGCATTTCGAATTCTTTAGACGGAAACTGAGTTTACTTTTCCGTTGCTATCGACGAATCGTAAAGGAGCCCATGGCATTGCAGCAGCAAAAGTGCGAGTATCCAAATATGTATTTGACAGAACCAATGATTTAACCCGTCTTGGACGGTGATGAGCAAAGAGTTGTGCTAAGAAGCCTCCAAGGGAGGTACCATAGAGATGCCATCACTTAGGATTTGTAACTTAAAAGAGATCTTACGTGATGAGCCTCTGAGTCAGTGGGAATGGTGTTTTGGCTGCAAGATAAACCAATAAGACTTAGATGCTATGGGACTATTAAATACTTGCATAGACTAGAGAATCATGGAGACGATCAGTGACATAATATAAGACAGAAATTTCAATAGGAAGCAAACCTGCAACAAATCCAGAGAAGAAGAAGTTGACCCATGCAAAAGTGAGTGTCTGCAAAAATGGTAATATGTAGCAAACCATTCTCCTGCAGCAGTCAACACAGATTTTTCTCAGCATTACATATCCAAAGATGTAACGCTAAATACACTAATCAGCAAACAGTACATTTGATAAACCCTCATAGATCACACTAATTTCCCTCAAGCAAAACAAATAGATAATAGAAGAATGACACAACTTAAATCAAGCTTCGAAAAATCACACAACTTGCAAGAGTCACGAAAGATACGAATTTCTCAAATCAAAAGGGCAAATCTTCATCAAAGCATACCTCGTAGCTAAATTAGAGTCTCTGAGTGTGGAATGATCTCACCAGTATGAAATTGACACCAGCTTTTAGATTCCGAGCTCTAATAATAACTTGACTAGAAAAAACAAAATCAAATCGAATCAGCAAACGAAAACACATAGATACAAAACTAACATAGGCACTGTGGAGGTTGTCTCTCAGCCATTTGTGATGGGCCTAAAATAAAGAAAATGGTCTCTGAGAGGCATGACATTATACACGCGCGTTCTGATTCTAAAACACAACAAAAGTTTAAAATTTACTACTGCAAGAAAATCTTAAAGATCATCAGTTATGAGGAAACAATACAAGAACAACACAAAGCACTTCATGAAATGGTTAAGTGAGGAAGTGCTATACCTTATATACTTTATTTAATTGTAATTCTTCAAGTTTTCTGCGACCCCAACCAGTCTTACTGGAGACTTGTATAGTGAGCTTGTCCTGCAGAAGGTAAGAAAGTAAGCATATGCATCTCTTCTAGTTCATAATAGTGCCAAGACGTCTCAAAAGAGTCATCTAAAGCAAGTTATGTGTCAAAAGAAGAATTACATGCAAACACATATGAGGAAAAATATTTGTCAAAGAGCTGCTGGTATGAAGAGAGGAGCCAGATAATTCATGCAGTTCTTGGTTCAGAAACTGGTTGCAGGTAAACGACAAGATCTCAAACCCTGACCAATCAAAACCGACATATAAAAAGATTTAGATACAAAGGAGATCACATTGAATTAGTATAACCGATGGACTTGGTGCATACTATACATATAAAATCCATACAATCATCTGATGAAGAAGTAACGAGAGCATAATTATCATAGACCTTCAAAAAGGGATGGTCGATAATGATGACTTTTCCATCTATACTATTTACAAAGAGTAACAAAGAACTATCTATAGAAATTAAACTAGACAGTTAGTTATGAGTAACAAAACTAAGTAAGCAAGGAAGCTAGTAATAAGAGAATAAGCAAAGAAGCATGAAGCTAGCAAAGAAGCAAGCAATAAACAACGAGTCAATGGAGCAAGTAAGGTACCACAAAACTGAGCAAGGAATCATCAAGGAAGAAAAAAAAAAAAAAAGCAAGCACACAGAGAACCAAAGAAAGAAGCAATCAATCACGCATGGAAAATCAATCCGTTTATAACTGAACATAGAAATATGATGATTCACATTGTCTTTTTTTGTTTCTACCTGTTTAACTATCTCATAGATTGTATCAGCACTATTGTCGAAGGTCTTGAGGAGGTAATCAGTTCCGGACTTGATGAGTTATTTGACGTGGTCGAGCTCGCGTGCAGCTTCGTACTTGGCACTGTATTAGCTGCACGCGAGCTCGATCATGTCAAAGAACTCATCACGTATTATCGATTAATAATCCTATTATTAAATCGATTAAACAAATCACAATTTAGTGTGGGCAATAGGAGTATTAAATCGATAGACACAGATCGAAGATCAGCTAATGGGATTTGAAGGTAGGCTCGACTGAGACAAATATGCCCACTAATAGAGGAAGCAACGACAACAAAACCCAGATCCAAAAAGAAACTCACACTGAAAGAAATCGGAACGACGATATGTATCAAATCGGGAATGAGAACGGCATAATAAATGGCTTCAAAATTACCTGAAATCGAAATTAATCGGCTTAAGGGAAGAAGAAGAGAGAAACAATCCAAGGAGAAGAGGAAAATGAATGGCAGAGTAAATTAAAAAAAATGGGTCCAAAGGAGAAAATTTCTCTTAGTAAATCGAAATATAAAACTGAATCAGCGAGTAAAATCAAAATTTTGTTAGGAGCGTCTAAGAACGTTTAAAAGCTTTTTGTGATAAGAAAAGAAAAATAGATTGTTTGCAGATAAATGTTCAAAGACTACGTTATTGAATTTGAAATACCCTTGTTAGAGAGTTGAAAGCAAAAATAAAACAGAGTTTGTAGCATGAAAAAGCGAAAGAAATTGGTTTTAAAACATTGTAATCTGATTGCATAAAGAAAAGACTACAACTTTGGTTTATATCGAAAGAAGAAAACCCTAACGAGCGCATAAAACTTTAGGTACACTCGACAACATGTGATTCCAGGCTGGCAAAGTTGTTCGTGAGAGTGACTGGTCCTGCTGTCTCCAACAAAGAGTACATGTTTTCTGAAACAGAGAGTGCCTTTGAGAGCTTCTCATTTGTAATGGGCTTTGACTGTTTTCGCAGGCCCAACTTCTTGTCATTCTTTTCGTGGCCCAAAGTTGGTTCTTCATGTTGCCGAGAAGAAGACTCTTTTTCGAGAGCCTTAACAAGAGTGACATAATCTGTTTGTAGTAAACATCTGCAGTTCCTGCGATTCCAGGAATACACATGAGCAAGGGAACAGTCTTTCGACCATAGTCATAGTAACGTCATTGCTTTGTCCCGATCTGTGGTCAAGTTATATTTTGAGCAAATGACATTCCAAAAAACCAAATATATAAATAATGGAAATTATTCATTCTGATTCTTGAAATTAAAGCAATAGATGTACACAGCTTAACACATTAACAAGAATCTCAAAACCTCCCTTTACTTTACACAATGAGAATGATTAATAGATCTAAGAACTTAAGATGCAAGCATAGCCAAAGAAATGTAAATAATACACTATGAGAGTCTCAAGCTTACTCATAGATTAAATCAAAGGCAACCCCAGAGAAATCTACACACTCTACTGAGATAAACTAAAAAATGAAAAACCAACAAGTTCTTGCTCGTAGACAATAAACAAAGTTGTGAATACTTACATCATCAATGCATACATAGACTAAGAAACTTGTTCAATCAAATGCATTCTAAGTATTTTAACCCAAATCATGTGAAATTCAGCTGCATAAACCCATCTAAAAGTGCATTTAATACACAAACATTCGATGATTATGCATAAACCCATCTATGATGAAGAGAATGTTTGATATTATGTACGACATTATTTTGATTTTTTATGCTGCATAAACACGATGATGATATCTATGATGAAGAGAGTTCGGTTTATGCATAAAAAAATGGGTTTATGCGGCTCAAACTAAAAGTATATAAAATGCACTTTTAGTTCTATTTTTTTCATAAATTTTTAATTTATATATAAAAATAATGTCGTACATAATATCATCGTGTCGTGAGATACCCATACAAGGTGTTATAAATTTATCCCACAACAACCTCTCAAATTTCAGCTACTTAAATCATGCTAAACAGCGAGTAAATAAGCACAATCACAAAATCAAGTAGTAAGAAGGAATAAAAACAAGTTAAGCATATATTTAATAAACTAAACAGAGAAACCAAAGCACAAAGAATCAAACAATGTACTAAACATAGAACAAAAGAAGCAGAGAATCAATACATTAAACAGATAAATCAAAGAAGCAAGAAGCAGAGAAATAGATTGAGCCAAAAAAGATGTAACGCTAAATACACAAATCTTTTGAATGGATGCTTGTGCATATATGCTTATGAATGGATGCTTATGCATGTATGCATGAATGATTGAAATGTGTTTGGAGATTCAAGAGTTTGACTGAGAATATTGTTAAAGAGTAGTTGAAAAACATTATTAATACATTCAACTACTTTAATAGTAATCACTTCCTTTCCGTCACTAACGTAATTTCAGTCATATATACTTTTGTTGATGTTTTTTTATTATGAGTAAGCCACAATGACTATGAAACTGCTACTGCATTAAAAAAGAAAAAAAAAAAAAAACAATAACTTCTTCAACCGGTTAGAGAAAAATTGAAGACTAAATAGAAAAGAGAAATTGGAAGGATTAATATATGTGAATCTAGTGGTTATCTCTCAAGCATTTTTAATCTGCAAATTAAGTGTATACATTATGTGCTGCTAAAGCATTAATTTGGTAAGAGAACACAAGTGTTGTTATTATATGTGTTTCAAAAGTAATGGCATCTATGAAAATGAAGAATTTACTCTTGCAATTGATCTAAATCTCTAGCTAAATCAGAAGCCATCAAGAACCCGAGATTCGACCATAATCTCTAGATTAAAAATTGAAACTAAGCTTGCAAATAAACTAAAAACATTAAAAACTGAGAAAAAAAAAGTAATCTGAAGTGAGACGTTTCATACAAGCATAAAATGCCTTTTGTCTCACTTTTTTCCAGAGTAGATACCAACAACACATAAATAAAAAACTCCAAAACTTAAGAACCACCGTAACACAAACTAATCTCACTCATTCATCATCTTCACTGTCTTTGCTCTTCTTCTTCTTCTTTTTCTTCTTGTCACTCTTCTCAGCTGCTGATTCATCTTCACCATCAACAGCAGCTTCATCAGTCTCTTTGCTCTTCTTTTTCTTCTTCTTCTTCTCACTCTTTGATTCATCTTCACCATCAACACCAGCTTCCTCTGCCTCTTTGCTCTTCTTCTTCTTCTTCTTCTCAGACTTTGGTGATGCCAACTCTTCTTTCTCCTCTCCCTTGTCCTTCTTCTTCTTCTTCTTATCCTTCTTCTCAGACCCAACATCTTCCTCCTTCTCCTCTCCCTTATCCTTCTTCTTCTTCGAAGACTTCACCTTCTCCTCAACCTCACTTCCTTCAACTTTAGCCTTCTTGGTTGAAACAGGAGCAGGGCTTCCACCATCACCATCATGCTTACGCTTACGGTCTTCACCCTCTTCAACCTTCTTCTCAGGAGCAGCAGCAGCACCAGCAATCATAGCATCTCCACCTGTAGGCAAAACCACGTTCCTACACCACTCCACAGGAGTTTTCTCATTCGGCTTCCCGTGCTTATCGAGCTTCCCATCAGCGATAAGCTTCTTCTTCATCGAAGCTCTAGGCCCCAATCCCCACTTCCTCGGGTAAGTGTCTCTGTCCATCACAACCCTCTTGATCTTAGCCACCACACCGTGATCACAAGTAGCCATCACAGAGGTCGTCATCTCAGCGATCCCAACAGCAATCGCCTCTCCTTTAGTCGTCATCAGAACAACCTCAGTGCCAACATCAATGTCATTCTCAAACCTCAACAGCCCCGGAATCATCAGCTTAGCACCGTAACAGATCGCATTCACAGCAGAATCCTTCACAACGAGCCTCTTGTAGCTCGTCAGAATCACCTCGAGAGGCATAATCACCCTCCTGAGGTAAGTCTCGTCCTTGTAATTATCATACATCCACTGAGCATCCATGCAATCATGCATCGTAACCATGTTATCATTCTCACCCAAGATCCCAGACCTAACCCTCCTAAGCTCCTGCATATGCCCACCAACACCAAGAAGCAAACCCAAGTGAACACACATAGTCCTAATGTAAGTACCCGCTTCGCAAGAAACCCAGAAAACAACCAAATGCCTATCAGCATCGTACTCAAGAAGCTTGCTCTGATAGATCGTCCTGATCCTAAGCTGCCTCTTCACGGCGGAGATCAGAGGAGGCCTCTGAAACACAGCTCCGGTTAGCGACTCGAGGGCTCTGGCGACTTTAGCAACATCGGGAACGGCAGAGTGAAGGCGAGCTACACAGACGTACTCTTTACCGGCGCCTTGCTGCGATTTCACGAGCCGTGTGGCTCGATCGATGCAGACGATTAGGTTTCCGGTGACCTTAGGGTCGAGAGTACCGCTGTGGCCGGTTTTCTCGACGCGGAGGATACGCTTGATCCAAGCGACGACCTCGTGAGAAGAAGGATTAGCTGGTTTATCGAGATTGATGACACCGTACCTGATGTAGTCTATGAGAGGGCGTTTCAGGGGAGAGTGACCGGCGGAGATTGGAGTGTAGTGGCCGGTACGGACGTTGAGGAGGTTGTAGTTCTTGAGGAGGATGGGCCAGTGGGATGTGTCGATGGCCGGAGTGAAGCTTTGCGGCTTGATCATGTAGTCTCCGGTGTCGGCATCTTTCTCCATTTCGGCGAGCTCAACCATGGCTTCTGGGCTGGATTAGGGTTTTTGGTTTTGTTTTGCTCGGGAAAGGGGTTTTGAAAAATGGAGGAAGAGGCGTCGTGAAGCAGAGAGGGATTTATAAGTCTTGCGGTTTTTAGGGTTTTAGAGGTAACGAGAGTGGTGACATTGGAAGGTTGAATATACCCCTTCTTGGTCTTGGGCTTGGGCTTGGGCTTAGGCTTCTTAAATTTTATTTGGGCTTGCTCCAAATTTAGTGGGCTTTAATGTCCAAATAAGCAATGGCTGGATGACTATTTTTTAAATTGGGCAAATAAAAGACCTTTATCAATGTAAGTTGGGCCTTAAGCTCCGTCTTCCTTTTTCTCTATGAAAATAGTATTTTTCGTTCGCCGGTTTCTCGATTTCACTTGTATTTCAATCCATTGATATCAATAAAATCAGATGAAAGAAGAAAAAAGATCTTTACTGTTAAATGGATAGTGATTATCCATTTATTTTTGTCTTTATATATTAATATATTAAAAGATAATGTTTATCCATAAATTTTAGATAATGCTTATTCATATGTTATAGATAATGTTTATCTATATGTTTTGTCTTTATAGATTAGCTTACTTTACTATGAAGTAAGATTTTTCCTATAAATAAGTGATTTCATTCTTTGTAAAATCATAAGTTCAGAAGAAGAAAGAAATGAAGTTCTTATGTTCATCTTTCTCTCTTTCTCTCCGAAGTTCAAAAGATCTTAAACTCTTCTTTGCTTTTTTTATAAAGCATTAGTTTATAACACGTTATCAGCACGAACGTCTCTTGGCTTGTCTATATACCAGAGAGGTAAGATTCATTTATGTTCAATTTATTTTGAATATTATTATTTATAGAAAGATAGGCTCTGCCTTTTCCGTTTATATGTGATGCTGGGATGGTAGGCGCTGCCTCCTCCGAGCTGATCGTTATGGTAGGCGCTGCCTCCACGATCAAATAATTATATTGTTTATTATGCCGGAATGGTAGGCTCTGCCTCCTCCGAGCAGATTGTTATGGTAGGCTATGCCTTCACGATCTAAATGATCACATGGTAGACTATGTCTCCTCCGATTATTGAGTGGGAGATTAAAACCCCCATCTTTATTTATTTGTTCATTTATTTATTTATTTATTTATTTATTGTGTGGGTGATTAAAACTCCTCATCTTTGTTCATTTATTTATTTATGCAATCATCAATTGTATGGTAGGCTCTGCCTCCTCATATTGCTTTTAATTATTATCC